CCTTTGACGGCACTCATATAATGGTAAAGTAATATGACTCAGAAATTGACTTTTGACTCAAAATAACGCACATGCGCGTATTCGAAATAACGCGCAGGTGTTCAAAATAATGCTCAGGTGTGCGTTATTTCGCGGTTTTACGGTAACATATTAATCATTGCTAGTTTTTTCCAGGACAAGTTTTTATGCCACCGCCAAAAATAACTAACGAATATTTATCTCTGTCATTAATATAGATCTCATATTCATTGTCAAAATTATCATTAAATTCATCAAAATCAATTTTTAAATAAAACCTATCTAAATCAAAAATAGTAGGATTGGCCCAATACTTATCATTCATATGAATATTAGCATAATTGAAGTGAAATACAGTCTTTGCTGGCCATGTGCTTCACATTCTGCATTTGCAAATCATTTTGATACGTCATACGAGAAGTTTCATTAATCTTTGCTTCACAATGCTTGAGTCTTCAAGATGATCAGTGGTTATACATAATGTGCCGGAAAAATTATTAGGAAAAACTGAATCGATTTCGTCAAATAATGTTTGTTTTACGCGTGGATTAAGACAATTGTAGTAAATTATGCAACATAAAGTGCTTGAAGACTGAAGAAAAAGGTGAAGATACATGTATGTGTAAACGTTAAATTAATAATACATAAACAATATGGTGAAGACAAACATAATAGAATAGAACAATTTTAAACATACTGAATCAGATCCAGCAACAAAAATGTCAAGTAAAAATGCTTTAATATCTTCTTCAGTTAAGGACTCTGTCATCTTACTTTTGTATCATGATGAGAATAATTAATAAATCATGTTTCGATTTTAATTTATGAGAAGCATTTGCAAAATCAAGTTTTCTCATTTCAATCATATTATCCAATATTTTTGATATGTAATATTGATTTTCTAGAAGTGCATTTGCTTTATTCTTAAAACTGGCACATAATGTATCAATAATGGATGAACAAAATAAAAGGACATTAATCCTCTTATATAAGCCATGATTGCTCGGGCGAATTATATCATCAAAAAGTGAATTTTCGAGTTTAGGTTTATCGGAGTTGAATGTGTTATAATATGATACCTTTGAACAACCTCGCTTACTGGTTATTACGATTGAAATATTATCGGTCATAAACCTAGTTATCCCATTGTAAAAAAAAAAATCCATTTCAAGCCAATCATCATTACATGATTGAGATTTTTAAATGCATTCCAGTATCCAACCAATTCATCAATTCTTCAAATAATTCACTAGTATGTCTTATTGAAACCAAGAGTTGAAATTGATTGTAAAAGAAAATGCTTATTATTAATTTTCCAAGTCTCATAATTATTATTCCAAAACATTCCTCGTCCAAAATTTACAAGCATATCTATAACCGGTGAATATTCATTTTTCGTAAATAATAAATTCTTTGAAGGGAGTTAATAAATTCTCAAATTAATCTGTTTTAGAGAGAAATATTCTCCTATAACCACTCCTGGATTCCATATTTTTGATATAAATCTACAGAAAGACGTTTGTAGTTTTCATAGAGGTTCTATAAAATAGATTTATGAATATGCTGTAGTCCAAAAAAAAAAAATTTAATCATTTGCTAAAATAAATTTATATATAATACCTCTAGTCCAAATTAAAGTAGAGGACCAGGTAGTGAATTGGGACGGGAGAAGTAATTATAATAAAAACGAAAAATGTATAAAAAAGAGTGTTAAGAATACAATGTTAACAGTATTAAATGATTCAATAATTTTAAAGGACATTTTCAGAATGAACGCTCCTAGTAAAGTACATAAGTATGTACGTGCGTACGTATGTATTTGCAATATCTGATGGGCACTTTCAAGCATAAAATTCGGTCCTTCCCCTGAGCAGATATTGTTAATAGTGCATTCCACGGATTACTCATGAGTGTTTCATGGTTTGTCTCATGACTCAAAGGACAATTATAAATTACGTAAATATGTATACACCTGATCCACTACCGAATTTTTGCTTGAAAGCGCCCCTGATATCAGATAAACGTGTCTTTTATCATAACTTTATCTTATCACCCTTGTGGAATTTTCTTCGGGTTTAGCCTTACATATTAACTTTTTTTGCATTATATAGGTGCAAATATATTTATGTAACTAGTTACGGCTAAATAATTGCCAATGACCGGGTGGTTATGTTGATAGTTTCTTGTTTCACACTCTAGGATAACGATAATCTGGATATTTTTGCTATGCTTAATTTATACCTACAATTAATAAAATGTTAACTTGATCGATAAGTTTTGCAATATCTGGATATTTTTTTTGATATCGTATTATCAACAATTAGAATGGTAGGTAATAAGTTATGTTGATTAAAGTTGATTAATAAATAATTAATAAATAATTAATAAATAATACGTTAAGCTACGTTTTAAATTCAAACCCGGTGACGTAACTTTTAACAGTTCTGAAACTTACTTAATTGTTATTATCATTAACTAATAGTATTATTGTAATTTTATTAATTTGAATAATATCAATTGCATTAAATTCTTTTTGTTTAACTAAATACAACAAAAATATTATTAAACAAATAACATCGTAATAACTAGGTAAATATAAAAGTGAACGACGTATAATACACGTCGTGTAAATCATAAAATTTTCTAATTTACTTCTAATAAAGCAAAATATTAATTCATTTCTATTTAGCACAATAATTGATGGAAAACTATTGATATAAAAATCAGAACCTTTAAAACATTTCAAGCTTTTAATAATTTAATAGCCTGACTTCTCATTATCACTATGATAAGCATGTACACTACTGTGGGCTTCTTTATAGTCCTTACTTTCATCGTATTTGTCGACACTACTTTTGGAATGAGAAGGAGGTTTATGAGGATAGTATTGTGTTGGGGATGGATAGTAATGATTGCTGTGATAATGATTTGATAGGATTGAAGCATCTCTTAAAGGACTTGCAAATGTCGAGAGAATAAATGCAACAAAAATAAGGCCTAATGCGATCGAGATAAAAGAAGTCGATTTTTTGGAAAGCATGGTTGATGAAGTACGTAACGAAAATTAAGATTGAATTATAATTAACACGATTCAATTATTTGAGAGAGATGAACTTATAAACTTTTAAAGTCTGAAACGAACGAAGAGATCAGATGGAATTGGATATTACTTTTTATAAATTTTCAAACACATAGAGGCAATTGTTTCGATTTCCTTTTAGATAATTGTTAGACAAGACAAATCAAAATCACATATATAATTGTTTGCAGTTTTTGGGAGTTTCAAATTACAGTAATGACTATATAACAGTATCAGGATGCAGGAGGACTTGTCCGCACATGTGATAATTGACCAATGATTAAATTGCGATCAGGCGTAATGTAACACGATCAGGAATAAAGTAAAAAAATTGTTCGTTCTTAAAATTGATCATATCTCAAAAACTTACATAATAAACCGACTTTTGTGCTCTAACAAAATTTTTTTCTTTTCAAATTTTACTTTATAATGTCATTTCATTCTTAATAATCCAAATGCTTATTGAAAGTTTAATGAGCAATAAGAAGTGCATTGATAATGACGTGTGCGGACAAATCCATCTACACGCTGTGTCTTTCATGACTATATAATGACTATATAATGACTATATAATGACTATATAATATATTTACTATCACATTATAAAGTTGCGGCAATAAGTTTTACCGAGTTAGTATTATAAAGTTGTGGCATTAGAGTTTTACCGAGTTAGTAATTCCAGCAACATTATGTGCGTAAAGTTAATTGTTTTGAATTAATAACTACTAAATAATGAGATAAGTTAATTGTTTTGAATTAATAACTACTAAATAATAAGTTAATTGTTTTGAATTAATAACTACCAAATAATGAGATAAAAATTTTTTTTTACCGTGGAATTCTTGTCATTCAAAAATGATATTCTTGATTCAAATTATTTACATAATTATAATGGATCAAGAAAGACACTTGAAACAATGGGCAGCATGGCCGAAAAACGAATACGTACGTACGTAGCAGGGTTGAAAATACCATAGTAATTTGCCGGCCATTCAAAAAGTGTCATTATTGATTTATGGTATATTAGAATTTTATTGGCTAGAATTACAATTATATATATGCATATTACAAATTGATAAATTTATCAAATGAGATACTTGTAAAATAATTTATTCGATAGTGATATATCAAAAAAGACACTTTAAACAATAAGCAATGGCACAGTAAATGGCCGGCAAATTACTATGGTGTTTTCAACCCTGGTACGTAGGTGTATTTTTTGACCTGATCCCGATTATGCATATTGTGACAGAATGCAGGGATAATTAAATTTTCCGGTTTGTTGGGAATCATTATTGGATATCGCAATGAAATTTTGACTCCGCATTGCATATTGTGCATAATGAACATTTGGAGATGTGTCAGAATCAATAATATCAATAAGAAATACGTATTTCAGAAATAATTAGGAGCTTGAAAAATAGAAATTATAATTGTGATGTTAAAGTAAGGGAAATGAAATGCAGATTCCCAATTCATAAAATAAGTTCCGCAAAAATAGAGACCAGGAAAATAGTTAAAATTGCGACATTAAAATAAAATTTTTTACGTAATAGTTATCAGATGTGTAATTTAAGTAATTTAATAATATAAATTCGATTGAAAATAAAATAGCAACAATTGTGTGCATTATCTTAAATTGGGAGGAATTTTACCTTCGTTGAAGCATCAACTAATTAAAAAAAAAAAGAAAAAAAAAGTTTGTTTAATTGTCATACGTCATACATGACTTTTAATTCCCGGTTGTTCTATCAACATTGTTAGAGTCATCATCTTTAATTGCCATTGTTAAATTGCCATTGTTATAGGTATCATTTTAAGTAAAACATGAATCATGCGAGAGTTGATTATTCAATTTTGAAATTCTGGAACAGGGCGTAAAATACCAACTTATTTACCGGCCATTCAAAAATATCGTTCTTGATTCAAATTATTTTAATTATTCTAATGCATCAAAAAAGACACTTGAAACAATGGGCTGCATGGCCGGTAAATGAGTTGGTATTTTACGCCCTGTTCTGGAACTCATTTGTAAAGACCAACCACATTGATTAAACGTAGAAATCGATCATTGCTTTTTATTGGTCAGTTATTGTGTACAATTGTTTAGTAATAAAGATCATTCTTATGTACTGAATCTGCATATCGATAGGCACCAAATTTAACTTGAACCCCTTATTTGATTTTTTTTGATTGGTCTGATGAATTATTAGAGTATTATTATTGTTAACATTTCGATTTATTAAGGGTCTATTCTGCACTACTCTGTAAGAAGGATTTAATATATATGCATAAAACCCATTAGATTATCTTCAAACCAGGGCTAAAACGACACACAGTAAATGTCGACCATTTACTGCGACATTGCTTATTGTTTAAAGTATCTTTCTTGATACATAAAAATTATTAGTAATATTTGATCATCTTTAGCAATAGACTAGCATATGCATACATATAATACGGCATTAAAAAATTATAATCTAATGTGAATCAAGAACGACACTTATTGAATGTCCGGCATTTACTATGTGTCGTTTTAGCCCTGCTTCAAACCCATTAGATTATCGACTAACCATTTGTCTAAGCCTACTGAAACATGTCGTTATTGTTACGAATTAGGTTAATTAGGTTTTTGTGTTATACATTTGGGCGCAGTAAGAACTTTTCTGCACCAAACGTATTGTCAAACGACTTGACCACTATAAAAAAAATTTTTGGGGTATAAATTTTTTTTTTTTTTTGCATAGCTCCGCATATTGGCTCATATGTTACGATTATTTTATTATGCAGTGTTAGCCAATACTGTATTAACAATCTAGGTTTATATAATTTCGATGTACGTAAAATTGGGGTATCCAATGTACTATGTAGATCAAATATATGTATAGTCTCATATAAAAATTATTAGTAGATTTTTTTTTTATCGGTACGTATTACACACTGGTCATATGTCTAGTAATTAGCCAATAAGCAGACATTACACACCATTTAGTGATTAGATTTTTTTTTTTT